TGATCCGTGCTTGCTGTTTGATTAACATTTGATTTCCTTTTATTGCTTCTCTGCACACACAAAGCTAAATTCAGAGCTGCTGAAAGCCACAGGCAGAGCTGCTGAGTTCAGTAAAACCATCTGAGGAGTCACAGGGAGCTGGGGGGACGCTGCTGTTCTGCACCGAGTGGCTCCAAGGCATCAGCTCATGGTGTGGGAGAGAGCCTGGCCCCTGAATTCCCTCTGGAACAGAGGTGCAGTGGAGCAGGGTCATCACCCAAGTACCTGATCTTCAGCTGATGGTTGCAGAATTTCACATCGTTCTCCCCAAACAACAAACCAAATATGATTTTTTTTTACATCTCTCCCATCAAACCAGCATCTGAATGTCCCTAATACATCTCCATAAAAATCTTCACAGCTGTTCTAGCAAACAGCCTGGAGTGCTGCTGGCTTTTATGAGTATTAACTGTGTTAAGGAAAGCAAATTTCACTATTACACTGTCTGTGGGAGCAGCAAACTTCTCCCATCAGTCTCCCTGAGCAAGGCAAAGGGTGATTAGTGTCCTGTTATCGTCACAATTGTGGTTTAAGATGCTTTTACCGAGAGCAGGACAACAGCCCTGGCCCAAAGCAGCTTCTTGTTCCTGCTGCTATTATCATAAGTAACCTGATGTGCCTGACGTGTCATCAGACATTTCTGAGCAGCCTCCTCCTTGGAATGATAATTAAAAACCCATACTGGTGTTCTGTGTCATTCTTTGGGGGTTTGTTTTGGCATTGATTTGGCAGACCCTGGTCTCATCCAGTTCCTCCAAGCAGCCACAGTGGGAAAAGCTCAGGGCAGTGCTGGGTTGGGGCCCTGAGCTTTTGAAATGTTGGGAGGGAAAAAAGAATATTAGAGAATTTAAAAGAGTCTGTTGAGCTCTGCTGCACCAAAAAAAAAAAAAAAAAAAAAAAAAAAAAAAAAAAACAAACCAAAACAAACAGGACTTGATTTCTTGCTGTGGGCTCTGGTTGTGGCTTTAAGGGCTGCAGCCCCTCCAAGGCACATGGCACAGCCGTGCAGATCCCCAGGTGCTGGAGGTTATCTCCACCAGTAGCTGCCAGCTCTATAAATCCCAAAGTTTCTGGAAAACTCCCTGGTGACTTATGCTCCAGCCAAGCAGCATTTTCTGTGCCACGGCACATTTTCACCTGGATTCTAGCAGTGCAGGCTCCCTCTCTGAGTGCCTCTTTTTCACGCCTTCACCACGGGTGCAATGCTTGCTGCATCCCAGTTTGAACAAACAGGATCCAGTTTTCCATGTGAAAGTGGGAGAAGTTTAAATGGGGGAGGAAGAAAAAGCAGAGGGGGAGGGACTGGCTGGTAGTGATTGTGCTGGAAAACTGGATTTCAGGCAGTGGGAATTTAAGCTGAATTATCACACATGCAGTGTGGAAATTTTGCCTTCTGTTAGAAATCCATGTTTCTGTAGGGATGGGGGAGCAGTGGGAGAGAGAGGATGCAATAAAGCTCTGTCCAGCTCACTGTGGTGAGCAAAAGAAACCATTTCACTCAGGCAGTGCAGAGGGGGCTGTTTTGGGAGTTGAGCTGGAAAAGAAAAGGCCCAGAGCAGTGGCAGTGCTGGCCCAAATTAAAATTACTAAAGTCCATCAGGAGAGAGACAGAACATCCCACAGGAAGGCAGATGTCAGCAGAGCCCTGAGTCATGTTTTCCTCCATTTTGCTAAAAGCCAAGAAGAAAGCAAGCAAACCCAATTGCTGTGATTTTTCCCTCAGTTCAGCAGCCCTGCCAGCAGCTCCCTGGGCAGCCCAGGGATGCTCGGTGCTGCTGCAGCGAGGGCTGGCTTGGCAGCCTCTGGGATTCCCCCACCATAGCTGTCATTTCCCCCTTTGCCTTATCCCTTTGGGATGGGGGCAGTATCCCAAGGATTTTCTGTTAGAGATGCTTGCCAGATACCAACAGATATCAACAGATACCAGGGATCAGAGGGGCAGATCATTAGTGTTTAATTACAGATTTGCAGAGTTGCCCCATGTCCCTGGCTGGGACAGGGACATTGCTGTACTGCTGTCTCCAGAATAAGGGATCCCCTCTCCATGGGGACCTCAGAGGTGCAGGTGATGTTTTTAGCACATCCCCCTCATCCATCTCCTCTTCTCTTCAGTGTCTGCTTTCTGCTCCTCCCTGTCCTGGGGCATTAGTGAATGGTATTTATTAATTATTTTATTTCTATATGACCTGCTGGGGAAGCTCAGGAGGGAGAAGATAACTGGGGCTGCTGGGAGGAGAAAGGGCAGCCAAGGAATGTACTGATAAGCAGGATGAAGGAAAAATAACCTTTTCCCAATTGGCAGCACTCCATCAGCCAGCCCCAACGCCATCACCCTTGGCTGGCCATGATCCCTGCAGCACTGAGGTGCCAAAGTCCCATGAGGGAGGTGTTGGGCCCCCAGAGCCTGTCTGGAAGGCAAAGCTGAGCCACCTGAGTGAGCAAACCTGCTGGCTCCTCAGTGCCAGCCTCCCAGCTGTTCCCAGCCCCTGGAATGGGCTGGCAGTGCTGTAAATCCAGACAAAGCTGTGTCTGGAGACAGGCGTGGGTGTGGAGGCAGCGCTGGCCTCTCAAATGAGTTGCTTAACAGGCAGGGCAACAAGAGAGATGATCTTCCCCTTTCCTTGCCACCCTCATCTCCAGAGGAAGCTTTTTTGTTTATATTACAATGAAAAGGAGTTTTTTTTGCTGTGGGAGTGCAGGGCAGGCTGTTGAGTGGAAGCTGCTCACCCTGGGCATCCCGGACATCGACAGGCAGTCAGAGCACCCCACTAACCTGCCATCCCAGGCATTTATTCCAATTTCAGATACAGCTAGCTGCAGTTATTGGAATTTTCATGGCATTTGAACCCTGGACATTTAGCAGCAGCAAATGACCTGACAGTGATGCCCTTGCTGGGTCATAACACACCCCCCACCACCAGGTTCCAGGAAACAGGGAATTAAACCAGAGGTGAAGAGCACAGGCAGTGGCAGAGCCAGCACAGGGACTCAAAGACTCTGAGAAAGTGTGACAACTTCACTGGGTTGCCAGAGACATTCCACAGTTGGAATCACAGCCTTTCCAACCAGGATGGTGTCTTCCAGACAGATGTCAATTTGAGAAATCTTCAGCTCCTGACCAAAACACGTCATGACTGCTCTAACCTCATGCCTGCAAGGAAAAACACAGATACCATGTGTGCAAATGTAGAGTTTGGCTGTTCTGTTCACGCTCTTGCCTGGTAGCTCCTGGCTTTAAAGTTCTGTGCAGTTTGCAATGGCTGAGGCTGGAGGGGCTCTTTGGAGCTTGTATAGCTCAAGGCCCAGCTCACAGCAGCCTGAAAACATCCCCACTCACAGGGCTGCTCCACCTGGGCTCTGGCTCAGCACGTGCAGTGCCATCTCCTTGTTTGGAGTAAAAGCTTCCTCCTGGAATCCTGATGGAATTCAATGCTGGCCCAGCCAAGGAGGAGGCAGCACGGAGCAGCCCAGACCTTCCCAGTGCCACAGCCTGCCTTCCCAGACCCTGCCCATGGAGAAGCAGCAGCCTGGGCTACCCCAAATTCTGTACAGGAGCCATCCCAGGCATCTTCCTCCGGCCCTTCTGTCATGGCCTGATGAAGATGGATGTGAAATGCTGCTGTAGAGCCATGCTTGAAGGGGCCTTTAATGAAGGCAGGAAGGTGTTGAAACACAAGTAACACTCAGGCACCCTGGATTATCTGGTTAAGCCCAGCCCTGCCAGACTCGTGGCCTGTTCAACAGAGGCTCCTGAGTATCACCTTGCTGAGGTCAGGGATCATAAATAGCTCTCTGAGACTGTAAAACGTGGCACCCTGGCACTGGCTGGCTACAGCTCAGCCTGTTTCCAGCCTCCTGAGGGACCCTGTTTCCCTTTCCCAGCCTTAAGCCTAAGCCTTAAGGAACAACTTGCCTGTAATTCCATGTCTGCACACACTCTCACCTTTGGAATGCACCTCATGCACTGGAGGCATAGATTAAAACTGGTGGCCAGTCAAGGGGTGACATTTCAGAGCAGCACTTGAGCCACAAACCACTTTTCAAATGCCTTTATGCTTCCCCCATGCCACCAGTGTGACTGCCTTGAATTTTTTGTGTGGCTCTGACATTAATTCCTGGCACTAAGCAGTGAAGGAGTGAGAGGGGAAGAGGAGAAATCTTGCAGAGGGACAGATGGGCAGTGGATATTTGTGGGGCTTTTATGAGGAGGAGAAAAGGGCTTTAAGATTCCTTCCTACCCAACCATTCTGTGACTGGGAAATAAGGTCCTTGCTGACTTGCTGCTCAGCTTTGATATTGTGCAATAAAGAATAAAAAAAAAATACCCAAAGCAATAATAAGCAGATTAAAGGAATTACCCTTGAGGAGAATAACCAAGATTTTATCAGAAAGCTAATTTGAGAGGTGATGCAAGAAATAATCTTTGGTTAATAGCTCCAAGCTGGTGGAGGTCCTTGGGGTTACCTGGTGTTGGAGCATGGCTGCCAATGGCCCTAGGGGATGGATTGGCTCTGGACCCTGCAGCTCCCTGCAGCCTTACCAGACTGGAGCAGTGAAGGCTGGGCTGTGTCCTCATGCTTATCCTCATGGTCCTGTCCATCCTGCAGCCAAAATTTAAGGAGAAAGAGGTACTAAATTAGTGGTCAGCCAAGTAGAAGAAGCTGACTGCCAATGCCATTTGTTCTAGGGGCTGGGTGCAGAAACAGAGAGGAAAGTTTCAAGGCCTTTATTTTCCCCTTTGGTGCCTGAGTGCAACCAAAAAATGAGAAGGGATTGCTGTGGGTCCACGGCTGGGCACTGAGCAAGGTGGGAGCATTGCTGCAGATGTCAGCAGTGCTGGTGGCATGGCCAGAGCACAGCAAGGGGCTGGCACTGGTCCCTGCCTGTGCCAGGCTCAGGGCAGAGTGCTGCCCCCAGTCAAACACGGAGTATTTATCCTGTTACCCCGTGTGTTTCCGCAGGTCCCAACTGCTTTGCGGGCACCACGATCATCCCCGCGGGCATCGAGGTGAAGGTGGACGACTGCAACATCTGCCACTGCCACAACGGGGACTGGTGGAAGCCAGCGCAGTGCTCCAAGCGCGAGTGCCAGGGCAAGCAGGCTCTGTAGCGGCCCCTGGCCAACAGCCCGCTCACGGTGATGGTGATGATGGCGATGATGAAGGAACGGCCTCAATGCTGCCCAGTGTCCGACCTCCTGCCAGCTGCAGCAGGGTCCCCAGCAGGCCCTGCGCGGGTGCCACGTGAGCAGAGCTCGGTGCCTGTGGGCAGGGTGTCCCCGTGCCCCCTGCAGCTCCTGTCCCGCTGTTCACGCTCTGCTCCCGGTGTCCAGGTGTCTGCTTTGCTGTGGGAGTCACCGGAGGAGGACAGCAGGAAAACAGCCCACGCACATTCCTGGCCTGGCGATGCCTCCGAGGCACCGATGGATTCACTGCTCTCACTTTCTACAGCGTGGATCGTGGGGTTTTTCACAGTTATTTATTTGAAGGTTTTTTGCTATTGTGTTTTTTTTTTTTTTTAAGTCTCTTCCTAAGCTGGGATCATCGGGACAGTACAGCTACGAGTGGAGCAATAGATGGAGCATTTGTATTGTGTCTGTAAGCGCAGGTGGCACTAAGGACAGGAGGGAGGTAGAAATTACAAGGAATGGGGGGGTTTAAAAAAATCCCAGCTGGAATGTAACCTGCAGCAGGACCGAGGTAGATACACAAGTATAGACTGCACAGCCACAACACAAAGCTGTATCTGTGTTACACCTTCTCCACTGAGTGGGGACAATAAAGTTGAAGACACCTACACAGTCAATGTGACCTTGATGGGAGCAGGGCCCACAGCTGCTGCATGGGCAGGCTGGGGCAGCCAACCAGAAGGTGCTCCGTGAGAGCAACATCTTACCTGGCTTGTCTGTGTGTGATTCCTAGCTGGGGCATTAGTGGTGGAGCAGAGGGAAGAGGGCCCAACCTGATTCCTGGGCTGAGCACTTGCTCACCTGCCTTGTCCCATCCCAAGGCTGCTCTCACTGGAGCCAAGGGCAGTGTTTCATTGCCTTCAGCGACAGCAGGTCACTATTAAAATACGGGATCACCCCACTGCGGAGGTTTCCAGGAATGTCCTATGGCTGTGGGAGCACTAAACTGGCTCAGCTGGCAGGTAAGACCCTTTGCTGCAGTGGGAGGGAGCTGCCCTGGCTCTCCATGGGAGCACCCACACTGCCAAGGACAAAGCAAGCCATGGTGCAGCAGGGCTGGGCTGGGCTCCTGTGAGGGCTGTCTCTCGAAAGCAGCTGCTCTCTGTGCCTGCCTGCCAGGAGCAGAGGTCCCGGCAGCCGAGGGTCCCCATCAGGCTTTCCAGCACTGGTACCTCCTGCCTTCTCAGGCTGCAGCTTCCAGGCCATACTGTGAAAGAAAAGCCACCAATGTCATCTCCCTGCCTGCCTGGCCAGGCGAGCACAGGGGCCTTTCCCATCTCTGCCCACACTTGGTTCCCTGCTGTTTGGTCAGTCCATGGGGGTGGTGGTGCTCATTTTGTTCAGAGTTCGGGCTCCAGTCCAGCACCTGCTCTCCAGTGACAGCAGCGAATCCTCTCCACAGCATCCTCACCGAAGCAGATCAGCACATCAGGCTCAGTTTATACACACTAATGCCTTTATACTTTCATTTCTTCCCCATTTTGGTGTTTTCCTGGAGGGCAGGGGTGGGAGGAGCACTTGGCACAGCAGCTGCTGTCTGTGGCTGAGCACTGGCTCCCTGCAGGCCGAGCTGGTTCCGTTCGAGACGTCATCGCCACATTTCTTTGTAAGCTGTTGCCTGTCAGTGACTATCCAGTTTCAAAACTTTCAAACAATAGTGTGCCTGAAACTAGTGAGAAAAAAAAAATCTGTACAAATGGGAGGGAGGGGTCCTAGAAACAATATTTGATGTGTAAAAGACTATATTATTAAAAAATTATTTTGTTAAATATAAAGTGTGTGAACCAGCAAAAAAAACCCCAGAATTACATATTTGTGGTGTATTTTACTCTGCTGCTCATCAGCCCCTCAAGCTCCCAATTCCCCATCTCATCCCTTGCTCCAGCTCCTGCCTCTTCACAGTACTGGTGAGTGCAGCTGGGGTGGGAAAGAGCAGGTGGGGAGCCTGGAAGTAGCCATGAGAATCCCATGGGTGGGATGGGTTGCTCAGGGAGTGTCTCAGGAGTAACTCACTAAACCAGTTTTGCTTTGCCAAACCAGGATTCCCATTTGTGGAGCTGCCATGGACCAACACAGCTCCCAGGCTCTCACTTCAACCTCCATCTGCTTTTTTATTACTTTTACTGGTGCCATTTTATATTTGATGCCATTTCCTGAACATGGAAATTTGCTTTCAGTTCACAAACTCCTTTTGATACCTCCAGATGCATCATTATTTACACTGATTAGTAGTTACTCTAATTAATTACAGCTTAATTACTGTAGTTAATGTTTGTACAGTGCTTGGAACAAGTACAGCACTATACGTGCCACATATTATTATTTTCTTCGTTATTAATTAAGCACCATCTCCATTCCATGCTGTGCTACTTCATTATTTCCCAAGGAGTCACAGTAGCACCCTTCTTCCCACCCAGGAGTACTTTTGTCCCAGCTGCCAGTGGGATGCTGCAGTGCTGGAATGGCATGGCAAGAGCAGGGGGTTGCAAAGGAACATGGGAATGCTGAGGATTTTGCCCTTCACTCTTGCACAGCACTGTGGAAAATAAATGGGAAGAAGAGGCAGATGGGGGGGACCCCTTGACCCCAAGGAGCCCACACAGGGAGCAGGAGCATGCTCTGGGTCACACGAGGGGAACCCTGCACATCCCACTGTGGATGTGTCCGCAAGGTCTCTGTAGCTCAGACTGTAGAAGGGAAACTGATTCCCCCAAATCCAGCAGTGTCAGTCCCACCGAGGGATCCCACAGCTCTGGGACCACAGGGAGAAGTGAAGGGCACTGATCATTTTCTAGGAAACCTTCCACTGTTTATGTGGAAGAGTTGCCAGTCACAGGTGGGCAGTGTCTCCACAGCACTGGGGGTGCCAGTAGCCCCAAAAATCCATCGCCACCACTCTGCTTCCCATCAGCCCCTCTCAGGCCAGGGTGGAACCAGAACTGAATTCCCATCAGGCACTCTCCAGATACACTACAGAATGTCATCCTCATCCCAATCTCCTCCTTTTTTTTTTTCTTTTTCTTTTTTTTTTTTTTTTAATGTTGTAGTTCATTTCTTTCTTTAATTAATCACAGCTCTGGGCCAGCCAGGCCCATTAACTACTCTTCTCATTTAGACCTTTCAGAGATGCAGTTGCAGATGCAATTTAATTTGTTGACCCATGATCTATAGCAATTAATACCATCTCTTTAATCTTGTTGAAAGGTTCATCTTGGGCTTCCAGAGGCTGCCAGCTGAAGGGAAAGGTGCCTGGTACATATGTTATCAGATGGGAGAGCACAACCTCCTCTGTGGGCACCGTCCTCCCCGTGCCCCCAGGCTGACACTTTTGAAAATACATCAGGTATTTGTGGGAGATGGAGGAGAGAAGGTGGATAAAGGTGAGGGAAGATGCTGAGGGGTGAAGAAGAGCAGAGGGCTTTGGCAGGGCAGAAGGCAGGGGAAGGTAGAGTTGATGGATTGGAAAAATGAGGGGAGATAAAAATGGTACAGCCTAACAGAGGTGGCTGGAAAAGGGAGCCAAAAGGACTGGAACTGGAGCAAAAGAGCAGGTCAGAGAGTGGACAGCTCAGAGGCAACACCTTCAGCAGGAGCAACAGTGAATTTTGCAGAAGAAACAGACCCAGAGTCAGGAAAATGCTTCCTCTTAGGGTTCTTACACCCAAACCTCGCTGATGTGATGCCACTTTTGCCGCCCAAATGCAGCAGCTGTGTACAGTTCCCTCCTCCTTCCCCTAGCAGTGGGAAAGCCCATCCCAGGAGCATCACCTTTCCCTGTCCTCATTAATATGCCATTAGTTCAAGATTGTTTTATAATTACAGAATTATTTCCTGCACACCCCAGGGGGAATGACTCAGCTCCGGAGCACAGCAGGGCAATGTCTTTCTCCCCCAGGAAGCTGCAAATCACGCTCCAAACCAGGCTGAGCCTGGGAAAATCCCCAGCTTGGGGTACACCCCATGCTACCAGGGCTCCTGAGGCAGCAGCACACAATGGCTTCAGTGGCACACAGTGAGCTGAGTGCCCTGGTGACCATCCCCTGGATAACAGATCCACTGCAGCAACCCCTGTCCAGCTAGAGGAAAAAGCAAAGAGCAAATCCCAGGATTCCAGCACAGCAAGAGCAGCAAAGTGTTTCTCTTTGGTGGCTGTTAAAGGGGAAAGAGGGCCCATGTGGATACAGGGCAAATGAATGCCCTTTACACAGCAAAAGGACATGGGTTTGCAACAGCAAGTCAATAGAGAAAATGAAAAATATATCAAGAATCCAGCTTCCTTGTGGTGTGGAAGCTTAGCTTTTAAAACACAGGGGATGGAAGGCATGGAAAGGGATTGCCTGTATTTATATATTTAGGATCATAGAATGGTTTGGGTTGGAACCTTTCAAGGGCCATCTAATACACCATATGGATTTATTTGTATTTGTAGATAGACTACCTTTTTTTTTAAGAGAAAGTATCTTTTTATCATCACTAAGTCCAGTACCTAAAAAAGCTCTGCTCTCAGAAGATGCCAGCTCATGCCCCCACTCAGCAACACACAGACAAAGGGATAATTATGCACTAGGAAATTGGAAGGAAAGACAGAACCCAGCACAAAAGCTAAGCCAGGCTCCTTTGGGATGGCACAGAACGAGGTGGTGCCCCTGCCAGCACTGACTGGTCTCGTCCCTGGGGGCAGGCGATGGTTGCACCCATCTGCAGAGAGGGCCTCATCTTTTGGGCAGGCCATCCATGGCTGGCTCTTATCCATGGCTGCTCAAGACAGACAAAGCCTCTCCTTTCTCAGGAGTTCATGTCCTCTGACTGTGCTGGCTCCCCTGGAGCCACTATTTCATAGAATCAGGGAATGGTGTGGTTGGAAGGGACCTCAGAAATCATCCCATCCCACCTCCTGCCATGGGCAGGGCCACCTTCCACTAGCCCAGGTTGCTCCAAGACCTGACCAACCTGGCCTTGGGCACTTCCAGGGATGCAGGGGCAGCCACTGCTTCTATGGCCTGTGCCAGGGCCTCCTCACCCTCACAGGGAAAAGATATCTGCATTTAATTAATTAATTATTTCAATTAGTTATCTGCATTCCTGTGAGCTGGGAGCTGATATTTTCTTGGCACTGGGCCTCCCACAAAAGAAGGCAAGGGCCTGGGTATGGCAGCACCAAGTGATGCTCTCTGACAGTTTCAGGGCATCCTTCCCAATCCTCAGCTCATGGAGCAGCCCTGGAGCTGAACCTGTACCTGTGCCTGGCCTTTTCTGCACATCACTCCATGCTGGTGGCCCAGGCAGCCAGGTGAAAGGAGCCCTTCTGATTCTGGCATCAGATACAGGAGATGGTGATCTGGGGAAAGGAGCAGAGAGGCAGAGCAAGTGTGAGCTATTAGACTTGTTTCAGTGGGACAAAGCAGGGTTTCAGTAATAATTAATGCCACTATTAAAGATCCTCATTTAGACTGTAAGGCATCTGGCACTGGGAAGGACACGGTGAAGGTACTTTTGGTCATTAAACACACACAGTGTTCCATGCTGCTGTTGTCTTGACAGTGATAACCCATGAAAGCTTGAAGAGAAACCACCAGCCCATTCTCCCTCCCAGTTTGCACAGGGATTATCCTGTTACCCATATGGATTGTCTCTTCAGGGATTCCAGTGGTGCCCTGGCTCTGTGTTTGGAGAAACAGCCAAATCCAAGCCTACAGAGTTTAGGAAAAAAAAAATCTTGGAATCTGGAAGGCAAAACTCCAAGGAAGCAGGTGAAAAAGGGGGCTCACCAGGCTTTAAATTGCGCTTCCAAACAATGTGAGATGATCATAAACCCACAGAAGAGTTTGTGCTGGAAGGGACCTTTAAAGTCCATCTAATCCAACCCCCTGCAACGAGCAGGGACACCTTCCACTAGCCCAAGCTGCTCACAGCTCCATCCAACCTGGCCTTGAATGTTCCCAGGGATGAGGCAGCCACCGCCTCTGGGCAGCCTGTGCCAGGGCCTGACCACCCTCACTGCAAAAACCATCTTCCTTCTATCCAGTATAAACTGACTCCAGTGTAAAACCATCACCCCTTGTGCAACAGGGTGAGGTGATGAGCAGACACTGCAGTCAGGAGCATCCCACCAGCAGCAGGCTCTGTCTTTTGCAGCCTCAGGTCCTGCCTGGAGGACTTTGGGAAAGGCTGCAATAAAGCCAGGGTGAGGAGTTCAGCTGGTGTGCTGAAAAGTGTGGCCTGGAGCATTTGTACCATCCCCAACACTGCCACCAAGATCTTGGCTAATAAACATCAGTTTGGTTTCAGAGACAGGCAGCAATGGTCATTGCTCTTTTCATTATTTACATGACTTGGTGGATACAACTTGCCCAAACAGTTCTCTGGACTTCCTAGGGCCCGACTCTCTTCCTACAATTTGGCTGTGTTTGCCTTTTCTCTTTTTTTTTTTTTTTCAAAGGACAAAAGCTTTGGGAAAGGGAAGAGATAAAAATGTGAGGAACTTGCTCTCCTGCAAATAATCCACTCCCATACAGGCTGAAAGGCTCGTTTTGCAGTCCATTAAGCTCAAGTTAATGCAGGTAGAGCATGTCTGGCATCGAGGGGATGGTAAAGGTTCCGAGGTTTAATTTTCCTCAGATGGAAAATCCTATCCATTGCTGGCTGGGGTGGGCGCTTCTGCAGCACAGCAAACAGGCCCCGCAGGAAGCATGAGGCCAAGGTTAAAGCACTTCTAAGTCAAGATACTGTCATACCCAAAGAAGCAATTTCCCATTGTACTGCGAATCTTCTTGCACTTTATT